CGAAGAACTTCTATGCGAATACTGTAGTAGCATCACTTACGTCATGTTCTAGAAGCTGTCAACGCTCTGCGGCGGGATAATAGTAGCAAGAAAGCCTCTCATCACGTGACTTTATTTATTTCTTTCCTTCAAGATCACGTGATTAGTGTAGTACCAAATCGGGCTAGGCCGACAAGTCCCGAGATTCCGTCTGTCCAGTATCGAATCCCAATTTGCTGCCACTGATTATCGTGAGCTTCGCTCGTCACGCCCTCCCCTCCAATTGACCACGCCTGTCATCATGAACGCCTTCCGCGTCGCCCGTGCAGCTCTGCGAGCTCGCCCCGCTGCTATGCGGCTCCCTGTCCAGCCTCTGCAGCGAAGGGCCTACGCCGACGCCGCCCCCGACAAGGCTAGTATCCCCCGGCTACTCAAAACGTTGCTCTACTAACATCGTGTGTAGATCAAGCTAAGCTTGTCCCTCCCTCACCAGGTACGACCGTCTCTCCAGATACGCGACTGTGCCTCGATTATCCATAATGATGCGAACATCCGTTGATGCGCCTCCGTGACGGCGAGCTCGTTGCCAATGGCCCCTGCTAATTCCCGCACCAGTCTATCTACACTTCGCACGATGTCGTTCAGGTCAACATCCCCGCCGAGTCCGGAGAAATGGGTGTCCTTGCCAATCACGTGCCTTCGATCGAGCAGCTGAAGCCCGGTCTAATTGAGGTCATCGAGGAAAACGGCACCAGCAAGCAGTTTTTCCGTACGTGATACATGCAAGATGGAGGCGGCATTATACAGCTTACTAACATCTAGCACCAGTCTCCGGCGGCTTCGCCACCGTTCAGCCAAACTCTGTCCTGAGTATCAACTCCCCTGAGGGCTACCCCTTGGAGGATTTCAGCGCCGAAGCTGTACGATCCCAGATTGCCGAGGCGCAGAAGGTCGCCAACGGCAGTGGTAGTGAGCAGGATATTGCGGAAGCTAAGATCGAATTGGAGGTAAGGCACAATCTCGATACCTTTGTCGTCCGTTTCACTAATGAAATCAGGTCCTGGAGAGTTTGCAAGCTGCTCTAAAATAGACTGTATAGAGGATAGTTATCATGCATCAAACTTGTACATCAGCACAATTCCCTACAATTCCCACGAGCGAATAAAGAAGGTTCTCAAGTACCGCGGCGCTCACCCATGCAGTTTCCATTGATCGTGAATGCGCCTACTTGCCACGGCTGTCGCAATTACCCATCCATATTGTTCAACAGTCGTTCCTGGCCGTTTCTAACCAACAGTCGTTTAGCCAAACTACTTAAAACGTCGGCTTTCTGGTCTCGTATGACATGAACTAGACCAGCAAGTCACCTAGGTCTTTAATGCTACAGATATATCATATCACTTACGTCCAATGCCTAGGCGGATGACCTTGCGTTATATCTTAATCTTCTGAACCCCCCTGAGACATTATCCACCATGTCTTCTCGCCTACAATGGCATTCTCCTAATGTCCCAAACAGGTCTGACCGGAGCGAGTATCCTATCCTTAAGGGCGAATTCCCAGTTGAAAACGCCAAATCCAAAATGCGCCGGTTCTACGCATTTTCTAACGAAATTAACTCGTCCGAAGACCTCAATCCCGCCGAGCGCCAGCATGGGTACACATCTGTCGGTTAGGGACGTCAGCCACGCTCCCAATATGCGAAATCTTCAACGCAGTATCTTAATACTCCTGACTTTCGGACGCCTCCTACCACGCATTCGTTTATCATTCACAGCTGTGGTCGACATAACCTGGACGAGCCGGATGGCCCCAGGTCCAGGACCAGGACGCTACTGTTGTCACAGCCTTCTTGCCGGAAAAGTTTCTCTATGGGTCATGTATGCAACAAATATGGTCTCACAGAAATGCACCCGTCTGGTGGGCGACATATTTCTGACACTGTGAAGGAAATGAATCCTAGACCAGCCCATCTACCTTTGCCGACTGTCACCTATGAGACACAGTCCTTTGCGAACCCCTTACATCCCGCTAAACCCCCGCAAATCTTGCCATTCCTTTCACCCGTCTTGGGTGGCACCCCAAAGAGGGAGAAGTGGAAGTCAGCTCGAGACATGTTCACGCAGTACGATATTAGCAGGCCCTCTGGCTGGCTCTCAGACATAGAGGACCTATCTCTATCAGGGGATGGAAATGCCAGCCCCCGAAGACATTGCAGACACTGTCACATCTGCTCGGCTCATACCTGGACTCCAACGCACTGCTCCTCCTGTGGGCACCGTCTTTGCGAAAGGTGCTCGTGTGAGGTATCCAGCGGCACTCCACACGCCCATGCCGACTGTTCGCACCATCAAAGCCATACCACGAGAGACGAATTACAGTATATAAATGCATCTAGGTCAAATCTGGATTCCGGACAGAACTTTCGTCAACAGCAAGGAATGACCGATTCCACTTCTCACAGCCAACACAAAGACAAGATAGACACGCAGCGGAACCAGTCGTCTCGCTACCGCACCGACTCTAGTTGGCTGAGCAGAGACGATGAGCAGGGGGTACAGATGACACTGTCCAGGAGCCCCACACCAATTATGAGAGACAGCTCACACAAAAGGGAAGAACGAGACGGACAGGTACAGAGCCGACCAAAACAGCTTATTAAAGAGAACCCGTTCCTCTTTCGGGATATAAAGAGCCGGGAACAAGAGACAGAGAGCGATGATTCCTCACATTCTGCGAACCGGATAGAGTGTGACGATCCTGTGTGCAGAGCAACCCACGCCGGGCATCACCCTTTTCGCCATAGTGTTTCCTGCCCCAAACATCAGAGCAAGCAGAATAGTCCGGTCTTGCACGGAGACAGCGCTCCAGGCAGACCGCTCCCGACTGAGCCATTTGAGATTCGTACCTCGGATGCAAGCCTTCCACCGGAGCAACCCCATACCGTCCATCGCCATCACTCTGCGGGCTTCCACAGCTCTCAGCATATTGCGGAGCACCTCTCTTCTGCAGTTGGCCATAACGCCTATGATCTCATCAAGGAGCGTAAAGAAAGAAAGGTTGAGCCCGCCTCCTCCTCTAAGACAAGCACCAAGCCAGGTCTATATATCGAACCTCTAACAAAGGCCAAGTCAGTTACAGGAGTTGGTTCGTTTCAGTGGGCCCCAGACCCTATCGGCCCGGGCCATCCAGCCCGCTCCGGTAATAGGAGGCGTTCCCCGGCACCAAAAGCTACGACAAACGGACCCAATCGTAGTCTATCTAGTAATACGAGCGAGGAGATTACACACGAAGTAAGAGACACCATGCCAGGGGAAGCTAGTGCTCATGATGAGCCAAGAGATGTCTACAATGGCTCGAACGTATCTTTGCGTGATAACGAACCCCCAAAGCTTCGACTAGCCAGTACACCATCATGGTTAAGAAACCCGACAAAGAAAGCAGCTGATGCTACCGCTCCACTACATCATATCAACACAGAGAGCCACGGAACGCATGAGCACAGCCATGGCTACCTTTCGAGCGTCAAAGCCGATGGCTGAAGAGGCCATGCGGCCAGTCGCTCACCAAGCCCTGCTGCTGAAGCTGGCGTGCGGTTTGAGTCAAGTTCCTTGGGATTTTATGGTGGTTCTGACCAGGAGCGAGACCAGGCACTCGCGCCCGCTCCGCTCAATATCTCGCACATGAAGCAACATCAAGATACGCGGAACCAGCTTGATCCTCGTCATGGGCATCACATACATTCTCAAAGCGATAACGAAATGGCAGCTCAGAAAGAACCTCATATGTTGTCGACAAGAGCCCATACCCCAACGCTCTTGATGTCAAAGAGACCTCGGACACCCCCTATGACGCCTACGATACGGATCGACCCTCCTGAGCGAGAACATCGGAATTCCCCGATTTCGGTATCGAAGCGGCGCGAAGTGTTTGAAAACGCACAAGGTCATTCAGATATGGCCACTGCGGCGAACGCAGCGAGTTCCGGAAATACGCACTCTCAGCAAAGTCAACAGCACATGGAAATGCCTGCGACTCAAGGTGGACTATCATCACGGTCGCTTATAGAAAGATAGGAGACTGAGCATAAGCACCTGCGCTCGGACACTCAGTACAGTCACGAGGAAGAACATGCCACCCCTCTATCCCAACATGCAAGCCCCCGTCAACCCAACGCTTTCACATCTACAAATCAGCAGTCCGAACATGAGGAGCTCGAGCACAGAGAAGGACAATCCTTCAACGAGCAGGCATTCGAACCTGAGATTGCGAAGCCTACACCCATTGCACCCCCGAACCACGAATGCAGCTGGAAAGAACGATATCTGGACTTGACGGCGGAAATCCGTCAGCTCAAGGCCGAGCTATCGACGCGCGCTTCGCTCAAAAGCTCGGATATTCTTGGTCATGGCTACGCACAGCGGGAAGACGATCTCGATCTGTTGGAGGTCACCATCATCTTGCATTTCAGGGATAGAGATGACATCGTCATCAATACTGATGTTGTCCGTTATGCAGAGCCTAGTAGTAGTTAATTGTATAGATTGGTAGATAGCTTTAGTCAACGGACAACATTTGCAAGGAAGGACGGATGGACCCAGGACATTCATTCCGAGATGTCCATCGGCTCTGCGGTGCGGAGTGGGTTTGTCGGTTAGTAGCTTATATGCTTCATTAATAGAGAATATTGATATGACTCTCTCAAGCTTCAAAGTTGATTAAGCCTTCTTCATTCACATCGCTCACATGTACCAGAGTAGCACGCACAGTAGCCGAACATTAATTAATCCGCTTAAAAATTCAGGAGCAGTAGAATTACATGGACTAGAACGTAGAGTGTGAACGTGATAGTAGAAGCAGGACAGACCCCAAAAGAACAAAAAGAAACAGAATAGTTAAAATTTCAACTGGGACAGCAAAAGAATGAGCTCCGAATCGGGGAATCGAACCCCGGGCTTGACGGTACTTCATGAGAGCGTCAAATGTTAGCCACTACACCAATTCGGATTATGAATGATGGTTGCCCACTAGCGGAATCGAACCGCTGATCTTGTCATGACATCTAGGAGTACTAGTGACACGCTATACCACTTAGCCAAGCGGGCGTTATTAGTTGTTAGGGTGCACCTCAAAAAGCTTACTTATTTACCAAGATAGTGGTTTACATAAGGAATATCATACGATCAATTCAACAACTAATTTTGATGTGCCCTTTTGGTTTAATAATTGTCTCTCTCTTGGGTTATATTTTAATCACTCGTTTGCTTTTAATATTGCACTATTTTGTAGAATGTCTGATGATGTATGTATGTTCTTGATACTCTGCACTCAGGGCTCAGGTGAGTCGGCCAAGAGCTCCCCAAGAAAGAATAGTAGAGTAATCGAGAGGAGTAGTGTAGTTATTAGAATTCTGTTTGCACATTGTACTGCTGGAGGGGAAATTCGCATGACTTCTATGCTTTCCTGAATAGGTGTCCTTATTTGGAAACAGAATCCAAGCAAATTCGTCAGCCACATTAGTCGCAATCTTCCTGCAAAGCTTGACTACGTGAGCTGTGATCGCAAATTTCTCATGAAAAACCTGCAGTGTTCTATAGGCGACTGCCGATAGTCTACGTACGATATGACTGGTAGTAAAGAGCAATGCCACAGCAACGTTCGTTGATAGTAGTTCTTTCTCATGGTGGCATGCAACGAACTATAGCGGTAAAATATTACGAAATCCTTTCGATTTGTTTTCGTTGGTAATTGCTTCTTAGAATATAATATGTAGGGGCAGTGGTGTGTCAGAGAACTGGAAACTTTGGTTTTAATTTGGGATTCGCTAGCGTCGAGTTAGAAGTTAACATAGCGTAGACTGGATGAACATTTTATGCTCGGCGCATGCCTTCGCGCTGATTGGCCTCTCTGGTACGTGCTCGCTGTCATTCTTGTAAATGTAGCCGATGTAGTATATGGGCTTCGAGCTAGATGTCCACGTCCTTTGCCATTAATCGGCGGAATTTGGGGTTTAACGATAGTCTGCCTGGCCTGAATTGTCATTGAAATGACCATTTATCTATACTTATTTCTTATCTGCAGGCGAAAATTACACGTATTTAGGGCTTCTAGGAAACCCTCCCTTTCACACACCCGCTACTATAATCATCTATCTTACTTTACTTATCAGAGAGGATATGACCATCATTGCTATGTAACCGCTGTTGGTGGAGTTGAGATAAGACATCTCTTCGCCTTTTGTCGCCATTTGCCGTCCAACTTTCTGTCGGGCTAGTAGCTAATACTGTCTGTAAGAAATCCCGTACCATATTGTCCCGGCTCATGCCCAGAATAAAGCCAGGTGCGCAGTAGTGTTTGGAGTTTTCTACATCTTCCCTGTTGAAAGGGAGCGGTCCTGGCCGCCGCGAGGATATGGCGCTTATAGCTATGCTATGCTCACGCTGCAAATTCAATTTCATCTCCCCCGGTAGGGAATGGGCCCAGCCCATCGCATCAACTCGGTTACTCTTTCGATACTTCGACGGCACGTGTCTTTGTAGCAGGCTTTCATCTGATCCAGAAATACACGCTTGATGAGAATGATGTTAAGCTAGATGGCGTCACTGAGCCAACGCTGATCGGGAGCCATCATGTGATCTTAGGGTCGCTTTACCTGTTGTTGTACGTGGTCACTTTTCCCCATATTGGTGAGCAAACCAGACGCGTTCGATACTCCCAACGATGTCTCTGATTGGTAAGGGAAGTCAGCTGCAAATTTGATGTATATAGTCTCCCGCTCATACATAGTTAAGAGAGGACCTAACCTCGCGGCCAGATTGGCTTTGAGTATGTGTAGCGAAGTCCTTGTCCGTATATTCAGTGAGGTTGCAATCTGATTTGTGGCGAAAAGATAGCGATGCTAAAGTCATAAATTACAGAGATCTCAGCATGAACTAGGATGATAGGAAATTGACCCGGACTTAGAGACAGCGACGTGGCCTCTCTCCTCATATCCCCGGCGGGGATCGTACGGTGAGAATCGAGGGTCAGCGCATCCTCAATACCCTTACATCCGAATTGCGCAGCTTTCTCTTCTAGATGGAGACTTACTGTCCATGAGGTGGTGCTACCTGGACGGATGTGAACTGGGCTAGCCGAGCTTACTAGTTTCCGCAATATATTGGGACTGCACTAGAGAGCACGCGGATGGCTGAGAAACAGTCATGATGTGATGAGATAGATAATATGTTCAGAGAAGTGATGGCCTTAGAGTTATTAGGAAGTCAAGTCAAGGAACACTGTCAAGATACAATGTCGGAACTTAGATCAATGCTTAATTACTCTTCACGCAAAGGGATCTGTTTGAGTAATCCTGTCTCTGGCTTGACGTGAGTCCAGATGGCCACGCAATAACAGTCGCTGAGTGAGGATGCCATTTTCTCTTACTGTATCTTTAATTCTAGCCATGCATGCATGAAGCCAATGCTGCAATGTAGGGTCTAGTAAATATACGATTTTAACTTATCCTGCACAACTCTAAGAACGATTTATTTCAAACCCATGATACCCTGCTCTTCAAACTTGAGTAATTATGGGCTCTCATTCTAGTAGACTACAATTTCGGGCACGCACTCTTCCTATTGTTATCTGCTGCTTTTGCTGATCATTTCATCCCTTGATTATCGGTGAAATACCCGATAAATGTAGATCTCGTGAACCCAAATCTGTCGAGTATATCCGTTGTGCTGGTGGTAATGAAATTGGCCGGTAGGTACCTGCGTAGCCGCTTGATAATCCGAAGTTACAGCTCTAGGGTATGCGACTGTATGCTCAGCCGTGTGACTGGGTCTCTAATGATGAGCCTGCTTCAGCTTCAGCCTTATCACGGTGACGGGGTGTGTCTCTATCCCTATACCCCGCTGAGCTGACATTGGCTTAGTCACATCGCTTTATATGAGATTCAGCTGAGACATTGAGACGAGTGCAAGCTGCTTAGCTACGTAGAGGCTCCTGGTGTAAGTCTGGTCGGAAGGTGAGACAAGCATTAAATGTTTCGTAACGTAATCGGCTGTCCCATAGGCGATTGATAGTTGATGACATGACCAACTGTCTCGGGCACTGGTATACGCATGAGAGCCATGCATATAGCCGTTTATCTATTGATCATATGATGTCTACATTGTACAGCCATGCATGTGCAGTTTCATTACTGCAAATCCGGGTCCGAGTCTTAAGGGCCACCACGTACTACCATATAGCCAGCGGTGCACTCCGCACCCCCGAAGGAAACGCCATCAAATCTGCTCTACCAATTGGTTTGCAACCGCGAAAACACGGGATCCAAATGTGGCGGGCTTCTTGCGACCAATGAAGGGTTCCAATACGACCGGTTTGCACCGTCAGCCAAGCTGGTTAAATGCTGCCGCTTGTTTCGATGTCAATCCAGTCCCGTGATGCACCATTCAGGCCAAATTTTTTAAAGACCCTCTACTTGATATACGCTACTCCAACACTCTCCAGCTAGATTCTCCAATGCATATTGCCACAGAAAAGTGTAGCCAATGGAGCAGAAAAGGGTTCATGTGTTCATGTAGTATAGCGATTAGCAGCCGATTGCCAACGGCAGACAGCCAAATCATAACTTAGCCGACCATGAGGACCCTGTTGTGACTATCGACCACATTCTGTACCCTTGGTTCATCTTGGCTGCAGCCGTTCTCTACAGCAGACAGAAGCCACCCGAGGCACCGTCTGGCTCCTTGTCGTTGATCGCTCTGCCAATATCAGCCAAGACGGGTAACGGGAACTACTAAGGCACGCCTCCGCGAGTGACAAGCTTTGCCAAGTAGTTTAACGATAGATGGAAAATCCTGGGTAGTGCGTCGTCTGGCTGAAGGCCGATAATGCGAACTGTATGTACCTACGTGTTTCCCCAAGTCCGGATGGTTATTCATTGGAGGGAAATACTGATTAGCGGGCTGACGGATAGGCACGACATAACATGTAGGTTGGGGTCAGCATATACTCCGTAGTACCAAGCGAACCCATAGCCATCCCGACTCAGGTTCTACATAGTGTACCTCACCTCCTCTTGGATATGCTGGAAGAGTGTCCAAGCCTCTTGGCGATGAGCTGCACACATTGATCATGTGCGATGATCCGGCTTGTTTGCGGGGAACGGGAAGTAGCCCCAATGTGCGTGTCTTGTAGAACACACATTTGCATCGCAGAATAGAATGAGCAAGATTCATACAGTAGGCGCTGCGGACCTAGGGATTATTTGAGGAATTGATCTTTCCTGATCATTGTGTCACGTGTAACCGTGTCGAGTAAACGGAAATGATTCCGGGCTTGTCAAAAAGCACACCTCTACTCTGATACTCACCACCTTACTGGATACTCATAGGGATCCTATAGATTCTCTCAGTGCTCTAAGGGTTGGTGAACTGTGTACCTGGTCGACTTACTCTGGCCCATTCAAGTTGATCGGGAATTGCTCGGTCATCTGCGTAGGTTCGTGGTAGTGAACCGTGAAATACTTGGCAGTACAAAACTTGGGTAGTGTTCATAGCGACATATGATATTCTCAAACAATTGCGTTATCCAGCCGGGTATACGTCTTCTTTAGGTCCTCCTTTTTGCCCCTACCCAGTATTTACTATGTATAGCGCATTGAAATGTTATATATCACCTACCTTTACGATATGACTATTAGACATGTGCCTAGGTAGCTATTCTTGCTCTCGACCTTTTGCTTATTGTAGTACTGGAGTCGAAAGGTGTGTATCTCCCTGCGCTAGTTGATTAGTTGGGTATTATAAAGGCATCAATGTAGTAGGTGTGAATTTGAAATACAACTCTGCCTTACTCGCATGTCGCTTTTTATCTATCATGACTGTGTACTACATGCCATGTCCCATATACACTAACTACATACGGACCCAAAAGGCGATGAGATGCAGGTTCTGCCCACGTTTACCAGTACCAGTAATTCTTTAATGTATGCGTGCGAAGTCTTAGGTGTGTGATCGCATACCTCGCGCCTACCTACCGTAGTAGGTAGTATTGATAAGTAGGTAGTTGAACCTGCTAGAGATCTAGACTTCACTGGCCCTCTCTGGTACCA